CTTTTAAATTGTATGTAATACTTATAATACTAATAATATTAAAGAATACAGTTTTAATAATTGAATAAAATATGAATTATTGTATATTGTACATTGTGGATTATTTTGAATGATACATTGATTATATACAACTCGTATAACCTGTATAATTTAATTATTTCTAACTTTAAAATAATTTTTAATAGGTTTAACACTAAATTATAGTATCATAACTAGTACCTACTTAATTTTTATATTATTATTTATTATTTATTTTTTTTATTATTAATCTTTATGATGTAAAGAAAGTGTTAGAAAAAATTATTATTAGCTATATTTATTCATATGAATTAATTAACTTCTAAAATGAATTGTGTATATTACATACCTTGATAAAGTATATTTTGCTATTCCGTATATTTTATTATAATACTTATTTGTCGTTATAATTATTACGGTTTGCAGCGTTTTTGCGTGCACATTATTAAGACGAAATCGGAAATTGTTCGTGGAGTGCACAAACCGCATTTTTTGCAGTACGCCTGTTCGACATAATATTATATTATCATCGTCGTCATCGTCATCATCGTTATTTGCTATTATTATAATAACATATCCCGTAAATTATTCGGAATATTTTAATACGTGTTGTGTGTACCTGAAGTGGTTATAATAAGTGGTTGTTACGGAAGCGCAAATACTATTCTGGGGAGGAACACCCACAATTAAAACGGAATCCGCAGTTCTATATAATCTAATACAATTATGTTTTGGATTCCGTGACGAACGTATCCGAAAATTAACATTTTCGGGTCCAACCACTGCATGTCTTAATAAGTATCTCTACGTATATAATAATGTAACGTGATGCTCACGACTCACGAGTCACGGACAGTCATCGCCCGGTTATCAGCCTATAAAAGCTTAGTATTCTAACTAATAACCTTACTAATTTTAGTAAATGAAAAAAAAACAGTTATTTGAAAAAGTTAAAATATTATCCATCATTAAAATATTCAAAAGCAAATTAATGGTAAACTGCGTTTTTTCTCTTTTGTGAGAGACTAGCAAACTTTTACTTTTGTTAGGTTATTATAACCTATATTTAATGTATAAAGCAACAAATTGAAGTAGTACGCATTAATATGACCGCTACTGCAATATATCTCTCGATGTCGATTCTAGATAATACCGAGGGTAATCGGTAATAATTGCCGTGAAAAAAATGGCCAAGTACAAAAATGGCCAGTGTAAAACAGGCTATGGAAAATTTGTCTCATAGGAAATATTTGTTAAAAAATTTTTATGAAATAATAAAAACATAAAACATATTAGACAATATATATATTGCATAAACAGGTAAATCATAAGAATCATACATCATTATAATAAAATAAAAGTCAATAAAAATACATCCAAAAATATAGTCAAGACATATACATAAATAAATAAACAAATAAAACTAACATAAAAAAAATATATTAAAAAGCTATTACATATTTTAAAATTTTAATAGGTATAGTGCTTTTATAAAAAGTTTTTAAAATGTAGTTTACATAATTAATTTTTGTTTTTCGTGGCCTATTTCTGTTTGGACATTTTTGTACTTTGCTATTTTTTTCCGTGGCAATTATTACCAATTACCCCCGGACGCACGTAAATTAGCTATATACCGCATTCTGGGATAATGTTTTATTTTATTATACATAGGTAATGCATGCCGTTTAAGATTTGAAGATTTAATTATAATATATTCCATCAACCTATAAATATTTATTGATATATAGGCACATAAAACTAACATTTTTGTTGGATTATCTCCAAAAGCTTATGCTTGTCATAAAGCCTTATGCTGGAGATAAAAGTCTTACGTATGCAATGATTTATTATTGAATTAAAACTTAGCACATACATTATAGTGACTTACTCAATGACGAGGTACACTCGAGACCTTCTATAGGGCAGAGCGGTTACCTACCTAAAAAGGGGAACTTTTATTAATTACAGGTTGAACTTAAATGTAAAAAACAAACAAAAATATGCAAACAAAATAAGTAATCTTCATGTAAATAATGTTTCATATCAGAATTAATTGTATGAAGGTTTAAGCAATGTTTGTTAAGCAATGTTAAAAGTCTATTATTAAGCCAAAAAAAAAAAGGTCGATAGAATGAATATTATTTTTCGTAAATATAACTAAATTAATTACCTAGGTATAAGTACTACACGAATATTTTTTTAGATTTTTAAGTTTTGCTTATGTAGCTAAACTATATAATTGATGATGTATAATCTGAAATTTTTTTTTTTTTAATATTTTAGATAAATTACTAAATGTTATTGAAGAAATCTAAGACCAAAATGTTTGTGTTCTGTGCATTTTGTCAGTTTTTTCGAATGTGTTTTATTGGATAACAATAATTCCTATACGATACTGAAAAAATTAACCCATGGCAGTGGTGTAGCGAAATAGCCTATCTATAACGCCATGTGAATATTAGAATGTTATGCGATCATCGCATACCTTTATTTCAAGTTTCAGGCGCAGCAACATAGCAATTTCAAACCATTCCGTTTCATAAATTTATTCTTATACTATAAGTTTGATTAAAACAATGAATTTAATATATTTACATTTTTTTTGAACAAAATACGAATATGTAGGTACCGTAATTAAAAGTTTTCATAATCCTTCAAATAACCATGCTACAGTACATTTGTATTTATATTATGATTTATTATAATTTATAACCCAAATACTATTATAGTTAATAGTTATGCAACAAAATGTACATCTCATTATTCTCATTCAATATTTTGATTTTTTTTTTATATATTTAATTTATAGTCACTTGTGCTACATGTAAAATATAAAAAAAAATATTTTGATTTTTTAATACTGAATATAAAAAAATTTAAAATTTAACTAAATTTTTTTGGATAAGTTCAAAATGGCCAATTTGTGAATCTGATTATAAGGATAATTTTTATGATAAAAACATTCATGTAAGTTGAATAATTTATTTTTTAGAATTTTTTAAAATATCAATATATTTTTGATTAAATTCATTTGGAACGTAAAACATTCTTTCAAAATATAATTTTAGGAAATTTGCTGACAAGAGTATATTTCTTAAATTATTTACTATTCATATAATGTTAAAAAATATTGTCCTACGTTAAGGTAGCATCATTTTTTTTTTTTTGGTCAGGTCTATCTGTTACACCTTGTACATATATAGTATATTATCATTAAAATTAAATTGTTGGTAGTATTCCCAAGGTCTGCTAATGATATAAATTAATAATAATCATCTGTTATTTTAATATTATATCCTTTTAATATTAGTCACTACAGACCATAATTTTATGATTTCTAAGCACTTGAGTATATGCTGTTATTTTATATTATGTGGATGGAAATATCGGTTTACCTATGATCACTAAGTCCATAAAAAATGGCTGAACACGTGGATCAGCAAATATGTGATATGCTTTTTTAATAACGGTTATGCATTCCCACCACATTCATTATATAATACAGTAGGCACCTCTACGCTCCACGAGAGCCGATCTGAGAGACGTTTATAGACAAGACGACAATACATATCATTTCTAATAGTTTCGCTCACAATAATGTATATAGGTACTTTCGTTGAGAGATATTTCGCGGAGACCGCAGGCGCGAACGCGATATGTCTCATTATATTATGTTGTCGTCGTTAAGACAATGGTCTCGCACGCGTTGAAATAAACGCCTTCGATTTCTAATGACCATTATTATATTATAATTTATAGCCATTATATATAGGTATGTCTAATGTCTATATAATAATACTATTAGGTACTCGTATTATATTATAATAATGTGATAAGACCACTTCCGATATGTAAATAATAGCTTATAATAATGTCGGGAGGAAGACGGCGATAGGGTGCGGCTCGTTTACACTTCACATTTAAATTAAGTACAAGATCAAACGATAAGACAGCTCTATTACCATTATCGCGGGAAGAATTGTATGGCGGCGGCGTGCTGTTTGACGGTCGACGGGGACTCGGAACAATGAGTATATAAAATAAAAACACTTAACGTTTCGTGAAGAGCGCGTGTAATGTTTATGACGTTTTACAGTCGGCAAAACTTTAAACGTATATTAATACGTACTAAATTGTAGGAAAACCGCGAGTAATTCGATTTCGAATTCAGCACATCAGCGAAAAACGGACTGTTTACGCCGTCGCCAACGGTGCGACGAAAAACCGGCCCATAATATAAATACGTTTTAAGCCATCAATCGGGCGTATCACAGACGTTTTTAAAGTAATCGGTGTACCTATATAACATTTAAATTTTAAATCGGGTCATGTTGGTTTTTACGATCACTAATTCAGGGCCGAGGGAAATTCACTGAATACGATTTGAGACTTGGGCGAAATATCCTTATCATTGCTGTTATCACGACCGTTTACGCTTCAGACAGATAACCACTTATGTGCGCAGTCGCTCAGATAACATATTATTTTATTACATGATATGCAATGCATATTATATTATGTATATTATACATCGTTTAGAGTTGTTAATCGCCGTGGAAACAAGGCTGTATAATATTGCTCATATAGTGAATAAAACGGTTCGGTTGTCACGGTTATATATCCGGAGTAGGTAACTGCAGGCGCAGGCGCCGGCGCGTGCAACCGTTAATACCGGAAGCGGAGGAAGCTGACTTTTAATGCACACGATTCTTCTACATAGATATAAGATACTATATATAATAGATAATAATATAGAACAATATTAAAATCGTATTAATTAATTATATTTTAAATTCAATAATTATACATGTGTGTGTTGACTAGACGTTACGTAATTTACATCGTATATATATAAATAAAAATATAATATTAAAATGTATAGGTAATCATATTCGGTGGTTAATACAATTATAAACTATGTAGTAACATTATATAAATACATAAGTTTAGATCTATACTTAATTATGCACATGAGAGTAATAATTATAATAATAATAATAAGAATCTTAAGTGTGGTATATATTCAATTGTGAGTTGTGAAGATGAGGTAACGAAAAAACGTGTTCAGGAACTTTCGGCTCCGCAAATGCATTCGTCGCCAGTGTGATCCATAATCCAATCCAGGTAGTTGGCCACTCTGGTGTACACTCCTGGATAGTTTTCTCTGGCACATCCTTTGCCCCAAGACACGATTCCTACAAAGAGATTTACGTGATAAATTAATATTCATATATTTTACGAATTTCACGATAACAAATTAAAGAACTATTCGTATACATACCGATGACTTCCATAGTATCAGAAGAATCTATACGTCTGTGCATCGGTCCACCACTGTCGCCCTGCATAAAACATAATACATTTAACTAATTTTTCTCGTACTAAGTCGTAATATTTAACGTTTTCACTCTCACAAAGTTGTGAGTATCCACGATGAATGATTTCGTCGTTAATGCAAAATGTTAAAATAATTATATGGTTATACCTGACAGGCGTCCTGTTGGCCTTCCTTGTATCCAGCGCATATCATGTTACCGGTGATCTTCTCAGGTGAATATCCCATATCCTTGCATTCTGCGTTCGATATGATTGGTACGTCGACTTTCTGCAGGATGTTTGATGACTTTTTGCGTTCGCCCAATCTGCCCCATCCGATCACGGTGCCTTTGATACCTTCGTAGGACGTATCAGCTGAGCGTGGAAAAATTCTCGTTAAGTTCAGTAATTTATAATTATTGTAATCATGGAGTTGAATGATGTACACGACTGGTACATTAAGTATACCGCAGCTATGTTTGGCATAGATACTCACCAGACTTGGGTAAGCACGCGACGCGTATCCACGGGCTGTTGATGGGCACGGCTTCCCGAAGTTCAATGATAGCGATGTCGTTGTCAAAAGTGCTAAGTCGAAAGTCTTGGTGCCGGTGGATTTTAGTCACGTGGTGTACGGATTTGCGGCCGGTTTCGACTTTCCGGTCGTGTTCACCGATGGTCACGGTTAGATCTTTGGGGCTGAAACTGCAAAACCGAAACGGAAAACGTGAAAAACATGTAACCGCACTTCACGCGTTGTTCGATTAATCGACTATCTCAGACTAAACGAAACCAACGGTTAAATTTATTTTAAAATCATAATATTCTAAAATGCAGAATATAAATCGTTCTATGTACCAATACCAAAAATGCCATCGTACCTAGGATGATTATATATTTTAAATTCACAACCACTGTATAATATCTAATATTAATGCAATCATGACGCAGGCACGTGGTATGTAAATTAGGGGTGCAGGCCAACCCAAACGATCTTGTGGGCCGTTTTGAAAATGCATTATAATTCCGTGGGCCGCATAAAAAATTAGATTAAAAATATTGTAATATTGTAACATCGACGTTGTCAGTATAATAATACGGGCACCGCGAGGTTAGGGTAGGTCAGGACGTCTTGGAATATTCTACTCTAGCCTCGTCAATACGAACGACATTTTTTTACATAGCGAATTTCGGGAAATCTCATAAAATTATCCAAGGCCAGTCTCGGGTTGGACACTCCTGATGTAAATGGCTGGCACTGTGCTAGTCTGTGCACATATAGTACTTACTTCTCGACGCAATGGGCAGCGGTGAGCACGTGCTTCTTGGTGATGAGTGTGCCACCGCAATAGAACTGACCTCGTCGGGCCAACGTAGCCGCCCAGCCGAATTCGTTTTCCCGTGCATCTTTGCCGTTGACGATCTTCGCAAAAGCCGACCTCCGTTCAGGTTGGGTCCCGCACGGCTTATCTATTTCGAAAATAAAACCACGTTAAAACGATATAATAAACATTATGCAATCGCGTATTATAGATACCTAGACTATAATATTATATTGATTAAAGCGCATACGAGGTTTGTTGTTTTTTAACGCGTTTTGCTTTTGGTTTTTTTTTTTGTTCGCTACTACATACAAGATATGTTATATCACTGCTTGATATGAGTGCAGAGCATAAGCTTAAAGAACAAAAATTAAATATAGAAAAATGACCACATCGACTTATGTACAGCATATCGCAGCTAAAATTAAGTTGTGACGTAAAACTCAATGCCTGATAAGACTGCAATTAGTGGTATGAAAGCATTAGATAACTCGGAAAGTAAATTTTTTTAGATCTATGTATTTTTACATCAATAAATGATATTATATTATTTTAATAAAAAAAAAATGCATTTTTATTTTAAGTTATTGTACACGATACGCAATAGTACATAATATTCATGTGAATGTTGTACATTAATTTTGGAAGTATAAGACGAACATTTTTTTTCAGGCCTTTTAATGTTTTCATAACTGGTGCATCTATTAATTTCTAGGTAGGTACCTACAATAGTTTTACCGTCAAACAATTAACCACGAATATGAATTTGGCGATAAGTCATTGTGCTGTTATAATAATGATATAGGTATGTCGTCTGACGATGTTAATGTTTGCCTATGTCCCATAGGTTATAATTAATATTACGGTTTACACTCGCACATTCATCTAGACGGGAAATCGCCATTATCTGCTGTATTTATGAGGTTAGTACTTACCTATTGTACATATTATTTGGTGCCTAAAGAATAATATAATACAAATGTTATATATTACAAAGTTATATTAAGATCAAGATTTTCAAGAGATTTATGTAAGTTAGATGATTAAACTATTAAAGTAATCTGCGGTTGCGTTTCCGGAACATCGTAATATAATGTGTATGGAGATCATATTATATTTTAATATATGCATCATACGTGGTCGTTGTTCCACGGAAGTATAATCAATTCCGCCAAAAAGGCTATCAATTAAAACGAAAACGGTCCTAGCTACCAGACACGATATCGTTTGCCGAATCTATGAGCAGACATGCGCAGTGCGCAGCGTTTCTTCGGATTTCCCTTTTGGTCAGGGTTCCGTGACGGACATTCCCGAACTAACATTGTCTGTTAGCTGCGTAATACGGTGTTATGTTTAATATGGTTATTTTTAATCACCACGCTCACCCTATTTTTACGATATCTATGTATTATGCTTGTTGGTTCAAACTCCAATTTTTGGAATTTTGGGATGTTTTGCTGTTTGTGCAAGGTACAAAAATTTTTTTGAACACAAATCATTGAAAAGACGGTTTTTCGTTGAAAATATTGAATTCTCAATAAAATTTGAATTCAAACGAATAGTTTCTGAGTTATGTTCTAATGTATTGTATATGTGACGTATAGTAGATAATAGTACACATTTTGTGTACCGAAAACGAAACGGTTCAGAATAACTACTCGAACCGTGAAATGTTATCATCGGGTACGACGTACAATAATAATAACAACGGCACTGTGTAATACGTGGCCGAGGACAACTTGCTTTATGATATAGACGTATATGCAGTTAAAATTATGTGTGTCAGGTATGTACAATTTAAACGTAAATACAGAGGAGCCGTTAAAATTTACGTTACAATGCGATTATGTAGCATAATATGCGAGAAAATGGAACGCGCAATTAAATATTAATATTATGTCGCTAGACAGGTGCAGCGGGAACTGAGTAACTGACGAGGTGTTTCTTTTTCATACGTAAATTACTACCGAAACTATATATTATATTATGTTTCCAGTCTCCACTCTCCATTCATATTCAAATATTAAATGTCGTTATACAATGAAATACTGTTTATATATTAGGCCGATCGATGAAAGTTATCGCATAAACTTGTTATATTATTGTAGGTAACGGCGCGATCCAGCGACAGCCATAATATATTGTAATACAAATATGTTTATGCATCGAATACTGGCGATTTTCAAATACATATTAAAATGTCAAGTTAATAGTTATTTTTATTTATAGCATCACTTTTTCTGTATACCTACCTACATACTACCTACATTATATAAACCGTGACCCGGTGTAAAAAGAGGCTGAACTATAGTAGGGTAGTTGTTATGTGTCCAAGGAATATTATATTTTATTATACTATTATTATTAATATTATTTTTTATTGTTAAAAACAGTCTAATGTACCTGAATCCGAAAGTTATATTATGCGTAAAAAGTAAAAACTAAATCATGTGTCTATCCATTACATCTTAATAATAACATTAAAAGATAATTGCAATTATTAATAGGTAAAAGATTAATTGTTAAATCCAGAATAAGCGTGAAGGTGTGAATGGGNGGGGGGGGGTTACGAATTCATTGATTTTGGCGGTCCATCTATTTTTACAAAATAATTCTCAAAAAATAATAACAAGATGTTTACATTAATCATTAACGTCATGAATATTTACTGCTCGATAAATTTGTAATTAGTAAGTATTAGTGAAAATGGGAGTTGTGAACACTCTTGTTCTATGTCGAGGTATCATACCATGTGGTAATTCATTTTTTTTTTTAAGCGAGGAGGTTGAAGTTTAACAGTTCACTGGAAGTTTGCTGTTGTAAACTTGTAAGGGTCCCACCAAGTGTTTGGTGTCTCGAGGACCGATGGATATTTTACCCGGGTTCAACTGTTCGTATACATACACGTCAGTAACGAATTTATGTACAACTGTATAGTTCGATAATAAAAATGCTTAAATCGGTTTTTAACGATATTGCGTTGACGAGCGATGGTCGCAACGCTCATTTAGTCGGTACCTTTACGTCCTATAAAATATACACTGATTAACGACATAATTAATAACCGAAAGTTTGTGTTCAAGTGACCATAATATTGTTTAATTAATGTACTGCACCGCCTTACCATAATATTGCAACTTGTAGGTACGTAACAAAGGGTTGCGTACTATAATATTATTACTGCTTATAGTTTGATCATAATATTATTATACTATCATCATTATTACATTTACTCCTCGAACTCGATAACTCGCTATTGGGAACGAGTCACTGTTACTTAACCATTTATACCCAAAGCTATATTACTTATTATAGTTTACCCAAACAGCAAATGTTGAAAATTAACGTTATGTGTAATAAAGCTTGCAAAATATTTCAAAACGTGATTATTTCAGAGCAGAGAGATTAAGAAGATTTGTGTGGATCCTCATTATTATTTTTAATAATACATTTACCCGACTAAGAAAATCTTTTGTCAAAACAAAATAAAAAAATAAAATTGTAATAAACCGTTAAAAATAATAATACTTTGAGCTCAGAACTTGACACGAATTCAATTAAAAATTATAGGCGTGTTAAAGAATATAAATTCGCGCTGTTTATGTTTATTTATCCCCCGCTTAATAACACCTACCGTCTTACATATTTTAAATTTGTAGATATCATAAATATTTAATATATATTATGTATAAAATATTATCTTATTAAGTTGTAAAATATAAATAAAATTAATGTGCTCATCAAATTATATTTAAAAACGTCCAGCTGAAATGGGGTAACTGGTCATGGTAAAATTATTGTTTGTGAAAACTTAAAGCAAAATATAAGCTTTGAACCAATTTTGTTATATTAATCTTACTAAATTGTAGTCTGCTAAATAAACATATATTATATTATACATAGTAATAAAGCTTTGATATAATATATAGAATATAGATAGTGTTTACATTCCTTACGATTCAGAATGTCGTCTGTTGTATACACCAACTTTCAGATGCAGATGTCTTAATACTTATATATAATGAATAATGATAGGTATGAGTATTAAATCCAAATGAATAAAGAAAATTCCTAATAGTTTCAAGTACCACTGCTCGTGTGGACGTTTGGAAATTCGGAGGGTCAATAAATAATAATTTATGAAAAACGTACGACAGACAGGCGAATAATTTTTGAAAATCGTATCTGGGTTAAGGTTACCTGTACCTACAAATTACAATAATATGTAATATTTATATATTTATGAGTATGGTCGCCGTTCGGGTCGATTAAACTGCGATGTGTACGAAATTCGATTTTGAACGCTATTCGTTCGATTGCGCCGCGGTGTTATCGTAACGCGCGAAATATCGATTTACAGCGAAAACACAACGACGCGTGCCAGAGGCGGCGTGTCGTAAATCAATTTTCGGACTGTTTTGTAGGTTTAAGTGGACAACACTATATTTTGCTTTTTCCATTTGGTAGCAAAAATAACAAAACTGTTTCAGCGGTGTTGTGTTTGCAGCTGGGGGGGGGGGGGGGGGGGGGTTAAAAAAAAATTATTTACTAAATGGAAACGAAAACATCGCTCGGATATTCTCTTGGTGAATTGGTATATAAATAATATGTGTACCCTGTACCTACATAGGACCATAAGGTCCACGTCGATCAGATCGCGCGCGTGTGTGTACATATCGCCAAGGGCTCTCTTAAAAACAAATACAATACAATTATCGTCCGAAACAGCTGTACTATTATCGAAATGTCTCGATGCCTCAAGAGATAAGACTTACTATAAGTGTATAGATTTTTTGTTTTGTCCGATGGTGGAGTACCCCACTACCTTGTCTAGAGAAAATAATGCATATAAGAATGATGTGAGTTGTCCCTCCGTGAACATGATTCTAGTGTGTTTACTCTAGCGTTTACTCAATAATAATAATACCAAGTAACGACAATAAAAGTATATTATAACAGCGCTGTAGAAGTTTAAATCTCCGGAAAAACGAGATCACTTATAATGGATCAACGAGTATGTTTGTTTTGGAAAACACAGAACAGCGAAAAACAACAGAAAAAAATATGAAGAAATAAACCTTGAGTCCGGAAGCTTAAATGTTTATACATGTAATATTAATTTACTTCTAATATTTGTAATATTTATTTTTTATAACAATATAATTTTTGTACATGTGATTAGTATCGGTTTTTGTTGTTATATATTTACCACATGCCGAGCAGTATTTGGTTGGTCGTTCGTCCGGTACTTGTTCATCCCGGTAGTCGAACAAATGATCCTGAAAAGAAAACACACGACAGTGAATCAATTCAATAAAGTATTATAAACATTTCAGCGCACCGGTATACTCTCGAGAAGGACCTTATACGTTAGTCGAGGCCGCGATCGTTATTATGTGATTACATTATATTATTATCATATTACTGCTGTAGTAACGTTATGGACCCGGCCGTGCAACAGGTGATTTCGAAACAGTCGAATTCGACTAGCGCATAAGCACGTGGATTTAGCGATTTGTTAATGACGGGAAAAATCGTCTTTCTAAATCTGTTACCACGGGAAAAATAAACTTCGCTCAATCCAAATATTCTCTTCCCCGCGGTTTGGTTCTATAAGGCGTTCTCCAACATAGAGCTCCACCAAATATTCCAGCGTGAGTACATTATAAGCCTATTCTGTTCCTATACCAAGACAAATAATCTCCTCAGTGTTTTAGAAATACCAAAAGTTATGCAACTAATCAAATTTCACTAGGTAAGTACCTCTATTTTCCATTTGTTTCATCAAAGTTGATGTATTATTAAAACAAACTAACCAGTTGACTTTCCTCCTGCACATTTCACGATAACTCCCGAGACGTCTACAACGCATCTGCCCAAGAGAGTCTCTCCAGGATTTGGAACCCTTATGATTTGTTAAGTTCTTAAAACTGCAGAATAATGGTTCTGGCAAATACCGGTGTTTATAATTGAGTTTTTTTTTATACGGTGAAAAAAATTGAGTAACTACAAATTTTATATTTAAAACTTTAAAATCAAATAATAGTTGTCTTAATTAAAGTGACTTTAAATGAGTTTAAAAATGTATGCATTAAAATGTTGGTAACTGCTTATATTTGATCGATTTATGGAACTTTTATAAATTATAAATATAGAAAATAATAAATCCATGTATACATTAACAAGCTTACAACAAAATTATATTAACCATTTATTGTTACTCAAGTAGCTGAAATAGTTATATTGGAATAAAAAAAACCAAAAAATATCGGTTCCTGTTCCTGTTTAGTTTGAAGGATCCTGAGATACCCAAATAGGGTTACTTTAAGGTTTCAGTTCCAATATTTTCAAAATGTTCCGGTTGAAATACTGGTATTTTTAATTTCGTTTCCAAGTCCTGCTATACTAGTGGGCTACTGAACAAAACTGTCAGGTGGCACTGCTGAGTGCTTTCCCTGCAATTCCGTCATTTTATATTTTATCACGTGGATAATCGAAATTATATATTAATAAAATATTATAAATTTTTTTTTAATGCGCGGATTGTTGTTATCTATTTAAAAATGAAATTTAAACATAAAACGAGTGGGAGCACGTGTCATGTAATAATATACTGACCCATGGTGTGTAGGCACCGGCGACTTGAACGACCTGGACGGCCGCAATCAACAGGGCGGCGGCGACTGTCGGGAGCATCTCGCGGCTGGTTTACCGGAGTCACGACGACAACAATATTATCGTTATAAAATATTGTAAAATATATGACGCTATCGTTCGCCTTCAGTTATAAAATACGATGATACGATGACGCTCTGTGTGTATGTGCACGTAAAGCCGAATCGATGCGAATATCATACGGCGGGCGCACAAGTCGGTTCGTCCGGCGGCGGAATCGGCTGATGGTCGTCGACGACGGAGTTGGCTGACAGTCGGCTGAGACAGACGCGCGGATCACGTGACGAGAGGACGAGACGAAGCGGACCACGGGCGCACAGGATCGGCGGCACCGGTGTTATATACGCTCCGGCCGGCCGTCGCGCGACTGTTGGAAACGCGTTAGCGCACGCGATAACGCGGCCGCGGAGGAGAACACACACGCGCGCAGCCTTGAACGGACGGCGCCGGCCGTATCTAAGGTTACGCAGCCGTCAGGTATTATTATTATTATTATTATTATTATTTTTATTTTTATTATTATTATTATTATTATTATTGTTACCGTCGTAGGCGCGCAATAATATTATAATTATTGTTGTCGTTATTAGCGCGACGTGCATGCGCGCCCGCCCACGTATTATCTAATGGTAATTATGATGATAATAATAATAATAGCCAAACGGTATTACGTGTACCGTGTACGTGTAATGTTATGTGTGTTTTCATTAATGCGACACTGGCCCGCAATCTAACCTGACCTACAAATGGTCAAGCGTCTAGCGCCCGGGTTTACTGCAGTTTATATTATTATATAATATTATCATAATATCTGTAGGTATACTTGCCAATTTAAACTCATAATATTTGCATCCAATCCCTAGAGAAAGAAAAATCTTCCTCTACAATTTCTCTGTGAAAAAGTTAAGCCTGTGAGGTATGGGAGGGACGAAGTATAGTTAACAATGCATTGTTGGAAAATCACTTGTACCCATAATACTATTATTATTTGTACGGTCTGTTAGCGTTATCCTTTACTGTTTCCGCGTTTCAAACGACTTGTAAAAATGTTAACATTTTTCATTTCGATTCAAATTTGGTCGTGCAACTGATACAAGAACTTATCTGATGACAATTCGCAACCGACCGGTGTTGGTTCTTTATTTTATTATTTTATTAACTGCCTAGGTGACTTGGGCAATTGGCTACAGGGATCTTCACTTGATAGTTACAATTGAGGAATTATTTTACAATATTATGATTTAGAGAAACAAAGAAAAAAAAACAATGAAAATAATATATGGATAAATACAATCCTAAATTTTTGTGAGAAGTTCACTGTCCTTTAGACATTTTAGTAAATATTAGTTGTATCAGAGCATAGATTTTTAGATAAGTGGTTGTTAATTCAACTCCCGACGTTGTAGTTCATACTATTCTTGCATTCGATTAAAATGTGTTTAACCATCAGAGGATAGGTGCATGTTGGGCATTTTTTAGAATCTTTTTTCCTCGTCAGTTGCTCATAGGTTGGTAATATTGAAAAACAGTACAAATCAAAAACCAAATGTCGAATGTGCATTGGACAGTAAATACAAGGGTCACTAGGTATACATCAGAGTTAATGATTACATTATAGGTATTTACATAACACACATTTTAGAAAATTGGAGCATATATAAGTACCTCACCCAATTTAGTAGGTCACATTTAGTGTTACCAAGACCTCGTTAATAAGAGAACTATGATAAACCAAAAAAATTGAGTAAGTTCGAGGAATGAGCATCATAGTATTATAACTATTTTTTATTATTTATTTGTTAATATAACAACATACAAAACATTAATATAACTTTGCAATTAACCATTAACACCTCCACAATAAGCAAAGCTTGTGATAGGGGATAATGAATTCAAGTCTAGGGAGTATAAGATAATCAAAAAAGAACAAAACAAAGTATAATATTTCGTAACATATAATAAGGTGTAGATAATTCGAATACCTATGTATAAAATGCTTAAGTTTATAATACAATTCTATTTCAACTATTGTACTGAATGCTAAAATAGATTATGACGAGTGTGCAATTCTGTAGAGTGTATGAACATAAATATTTACGCATCGTATTACATAGGTCATAGATGAATAGCAAGAAGAGACTCACGAGCTCCACAAAAAGTTAAAAATATGCTATGATCTAGAACAAAAGCGGAGGTTTTCAAGTGTCATAAAATAAGAAAATACATTGGACATAAATGCAATTTAATTCCTCCAGTTGTTATTAATTTATTATGATAGATTGTATATCAAAAAAGGTGGAAAAGTGAGAACCGCTCTGCTGTACAGAAGGTCCAATGTGTTAAATTTGAATTCAATGATATGCACAATAAAATAAAAATATATTTTATTTTTTTATGTTGTGCGGTAGGTAGGTTGTATAGGTACATATTTTGAACTGTTTGGCGTTGCAGAGTTTAGATCCATAATGCCATTCAAAGTTCATTTAATGTTCGTTATTATTTTATTTTCAGTTCACATGATTATCAGTGTAAGACTGAATTACCTAAACTTAGCTAGTCATTAGTCATAGTGGTCAGTGAGCCTGTGCGCTTGACTACGGTGATTTTCGTTTTTACTGATTCTTAACGAGAGCCTGTGTAGTACTTGTTGAAAAGCCGTAATCGCACCTGTAAATCTCCTGCATGACAATAGCTTAATACAAATGTTAGCAGTGAAATATAATGCAACTTGGGAGGTGGAGATTTGACAATGTTCTACCATTAAACTACGAATAAAAAAATTAATTAAAATTGCTCGCACCATATAATTTGAAACAGACTTTTATTTTCGATAGGTATACGTATTATATAGTATTATACACGTAAGTACGTTACACATATTATTAACATTTCACTTGTAGGATGTGATGCGCGTAGGTTGAACGTATACCAATAATAAACTTAGTATTACTTATCAAGAAATTATTAAAACAACATAAAAAAAACGCATAACATTACAACGTAATTATGTTACATCTCGTATTAGTAGCAAGCCGGTATGGTTCAAATATTAAATAATTTTTTTAGTATTCGTGAAATTGCTGTCCGCACAGATACATTGAAACAATATAATATAATATAAATCAACTGAACCATCGCGTAACTGAAAATAGTACGTGGTATTCTTATTCATTCGCATTTATACATTTCATCCATGCATACAAATCATAATAAAATGTAATATAGTCGGGTAAATATAATAATAATATCTTCTTTTAAACATTTTTATATTATTTGATCGTACAATTTTTTTAACGCAGTAGCTTTTCGTTAACAGCGTCTGTACCATTTACATTTGTATGGTTTTTAATCAACTAACATTTACCATACTATTATACTATTATTATAATAAATAACTTCGCATCGACCATATACAACCGATGTTAATATTATTATGTATTGTTACTTTAAAAGCGACGATGAAATAAATTACAAGCTAGCTACCTGTTTATTTATTATTTTATTATAATAATGTATCATATTGATATTTGATACCATAAGTATGTATATAGTGTAAAATTGCATTTTATTCGCGTTGTGCGAAATGAAACTGTACTGAAACAAATTACGTTTGGGCTATGGTGGTAGAGTTGCATATTATAAAGTTATCATTTCCACTTAATAAAAAAAGTGTCATAGTAATAAATACAGTGATGCTTTTTATGGGGTAAACCTAGAAATGTACCATCCACACCCATCCGCCATCATTTATCATCTACAATTATTCTAAGCATGTCTTTTTACTGCCTTATGAGTTAATCATAGAATATTTTATTTTTTATTACAATATTAAATTAACAATATAAATATTTAACCTTTACCAACTACTATAGGATTTACCAAATTATACATCCATACCTATCACCAAATTATTATTTTTTTGGATAGATGGAGGAGCAACTGAGACAGTCCCCCCCTCAACCTGTTTCTGCAGATTTGGGCTACTGAATAAATAGTGTGTGCCTACTAAAAATTCACTTTTCGGTAAGTTTACCTACCTGTTAATTAATAAACGCATATGAATTTGAAAACTACGTTTTATTTTTACCAATATTATAAACACCATTTTTATGATTTTATTCAACTTCATACAAGTTTTACCATGTAGAAATCTAAAATGAAAAAACTTAAAATATGTTATTATGTTCTTTATCATTTTATCATCATGTATATAAATCGAATGTTAAAAGCGTTTTTGAGTAGGATTTTAAACCAGTTTTTACAACACACTTCGACAAGTTAAGTCTTTCAATGCATAAATACATATATATATATAATATATGATTAAGTATCGGATAGATTTTAATGGATAGATTATACAAAGTAAGAAAATCATCGTGCGGTGACGTTACGAGAGAAAATCATTTCGTAAATAAAAACCAATTAGCTTAATAATACGACGGAGGTAAACCTTTTTTTTTAAAAAGATTAAATTTTAGATAAACATAATATTATTTAAGTTTGTATTTTTATATGAATGCCGTAAAATCATTTAGGTATTGAAAAATTATCAATTCATATTACGTTTGTCACTATTGATAGGATCAAAACCATATGTATAAGTAATATCATAAAATTAAAATCCTTCGATTTACATTTCATTGTAACACAAGGGCCCGAATCTCGTTACGTAACGTAATGTTATAATACATATTATAATTTAATTATACGCAATCAAGATAACAATTTTTCATCGTAATTTATAATATCTATATTCCACATAGCATAACGAACGCGACTCGTTTGATATTGTCAATTGGAAACGTCAAAACTTATGATAAATTCAAAAGACGAATAACAAAAATCAATACAATACTATACAGGATAGAAAGTGAGAAAATAAGTTTTTTAATATCCTAAAAACACGCGGTTCAGTATTCCCCGTCGCGACTCCAATTTGAGGGCAGATTTAGCCCGAGTCTAATATTTTACCCATATATTTATACATGTATACGCGGGCCCGGTTAGAGATTTATCGCTTGTCGGAGTCAGTTTGGCCTACACGGATATTGTACCTACGTACAGTGTTATGTTCACACAGCAATACGGCTTTAAATGCAATTGTATTTGGGGCGCGAAGCGTCTTAAGGCGGAATGAAATAATGTCCCGAGGGAATTCGTTCGATTCCCTATTATTAGTCACACGCACACGCACCTCACGTCGAATATATATGTAAACCTTAAGTCTTCTCATGTTTCATGTATATTTTTCGTGACTATATATATGTATAATATATATATATTGCTAATATATTGACTACCTTCAATGTATACGCATTATATTGGCGAGTTTCCTTCCGGACGACGTGACATTTATTTCACTGGTGACATGACGTTTTCGATAAAAAAAAAAAAAATACCAATTTCGCCTTTAGCAACGAACTTCAGAGGTATTTTTATGTACATACTATACATATAAATACACGTTTTGGACTCCATATATATTATATATTACGTTTGACATATCGACGGTTTTCATTATTTACAATAATGTACAATAATAACTCTTTTGAAGTTATTGCTGGCTTTATTATAATATTAAACAGACTTGATTCGATGTTATTCACTGCTTCAGTGGCATAATTAATCCGTTTTAATTATTATTTATTTATTTTTATATTCGTTCAACCCCTTTGATGTAGTGGGTACCTATTAATATTAATATTTTTTCTACAGCTGAATATATTAATAGTACCTATAATGTGCACAGTAGTGATAAAACATAAAATGCATTAATGATTATTATATCTATGTTTTATTTTGTACACTTTGTAATTTAATTTAATTTATATTATATTACTTTATTTCGTTTTAAGAAACTGCGTTTTTCGAAACCTCGTTAAAAAGTCATCGGTACTGCGGCATGGTAAGTACCCGCCCCAGTTATATATATATTGAAATGAAACAAACGAATTCAAACAAACGTCGAACAGGCAACGATGACTAAAAATAATTTGATTTTTTTTCTAGTATAGTCAGACATGTATACAGAATTTGTAATTAACCATCCTACCAATAAATAAAGATATTTATAAATTCTTGAACAGACCGTCGTCGTCTTGCGTTTTGTTTGAAATTTAATAACGTGGTGATTGGATAAGCCCCCCCCCCCGAAACCTGAGTACGGTATATACCAACTCGTATAGTAGAATTATACTGATGGTACATACTATAATGGTGATTGATCGCGCACTGCTGTTGTAGCTTCCGGATAAATCGATTTCGGAGCGGCCGGAAATTGTATGGCTCCGGGAGATATTTTCTCGACCAGCGTGTAATTCCGGTCGGTATAGGTTAATCTCGTTATTGGTTCGAAATCCCGTATACTGATTTGATAATGCCTCCACGCGTGTTACGAACTGGTAGAAAATCCCGAAAACCACAAGACCAGCGGCAAACGTATATCCGGATCACTTTTTTTTTTTGATTAAAAACGCCGTATATATATGTGACGATGTACGTATATATTTACTAAATGTAATTAAATTTGGGATTTTAAAACCGTATCCTCGCCGACGTCTCGTAGATGCTCGAAAACTTCCGAAATCTTATTATTAATCTACGAAACTCGACATAAAAATAATTAATACTATACGTCCCACACTGCATCTATGAGATAATGTACCCATCGAACGCTTCGAATGCTTCGGAATAGTCTACATGGGTTGTAATTACTTATAATGATTAATAATAATAGTGATTCGTACCGATGCTAATTGTAAGTATACTGCATAGGTATTAGTAGACTTTGCATGAATTTATTGCAAACATACGAAATTGCATAGGTACATCAGGATAGTACTAGCCGTCCCACGCGGCGTTGCCCGTCCTAAAGATGTATTTGTAAAAAAGGGTACACCATATTATATCTACCAATTATATTAGTAATATAGCATGTACAACTCATTTTACTAATAATAGGTAATATTTTATTTTATGCAATCGTTTTCATTTTAGTTTATATTCTTAGCTTATTATTATTATTATTAATTTATGTTATTGTACGATGTCCGTATCAACTTATTGTAAAAACTTATTTATTTACTTGTACTATTGGGCAATATTCCCGTTTTATTCATTGAATAAACAATTATTTTTATTATTATGTAATCAAATAATGGAAACCATAAAAAAAAAATATTTTTTTCGTGAGCTAAAAAAAAAAATTCAAGCATGAGTTCCCGCCTTTACTCGTACCATTAATTCGTTTTTTTTTTATATATAAATATATTTGTTAGTACATCCCATGAAAAAAGGCTTCTTAGTTTTTTCCAATTTTTGGGCAATAACTGCTCCTATTTTTTATTCAGTAAAACCTCATTCGGAATATTACGAACATATTAAATACAAAATCAGGCAGATCGGGCCAGCCGTTCTCGATCGATGCTCTTACCAAAGAACGGCTTTCCATTTGTATTATATTATAGAAGATTATGTTATTCTTACCATCTTACTAACGTATAAACTCGATGTAATAACAAAACGAGTCAGATCTGTAAGTCTAATACAGCTAGACGCTAGTGGTCTGGAATAAGATTTGTGGGATGGGTCATTTATTGCCAATTCTTCGTATACTTACACTCTCATTTTTACGATGTTATATTCGACTATTTATAAATATCGGTATAGTTGGATACATTGGATGTATTTCACATCTGACCTGTACTTAACATCTATAATACACCTTATTAGTCTTAGGCCTTGACTGTGTATGGCTGCAGCATATAATAATTAGCCAGGAAATTTATAATGCAATGAAAATTCTGATACACCGCAACATAGTATTACAATAAATTATTATTATGGTCTATCGGTAGGAATTTTCATCAGTTCATTGCTCAAAATCAATTCACACACACACAATATACCTATAATATATAATATGATGTATTGATGGGACATTATTTCATGCGACCAAATACGCGTTAGTGTACCGGTTTTGGTTTTATTTCGAAATACCTGAAGTACAGGTAGATAACATGCCTACTATACCAACCAACTGTACATTATACAATCCTTAATGTCCGAACGACGATAGTTGAGAAATGTTTTATAAAAACTAAGCGCACCGCTTATTTCCTATGGGTCCCGCGGAGGAATTTCTTAATCTGAAATTAATTAAAAACAAAGAGGCGTTATAGGCTTCTTAAAATATTACCGATTGTATATTCGTTCGTTAAAAAAAACCCGAATGCGGTGGCAAATGTATAATACATATCCTTATCAGATTTTTTTTATTTTGGGGAAAACTTTCTTAAGTATACCTGGTCCTATAAGATGGTATATTATTATAATATATAACGCTTACCGATATGTAAATAATTCGTGAGCTTAGCCACCATTAGTGTGGTCGAGACACGACCGGGTCGAATTTTTAATTAGTGCTCGTTCGTAAAAAATGTTCATGTACCTAAGCCGCAAGCATAATATAATATGTCTTGTTGATTTTGTCACCATTTAATATATTCCATTTTATACACACGTGGGCCGTGGCGGCGTTATAAATGTATACGATTTCTACAATTTGTTTCTCAAAAATCTAAAAAGCTAAATATGTAACTTTTTATCAGTTAAAAAAGAACAACGGTAAACCTACTTTTGGTCGTTTTTCCAATAAAATGTCAAAAGTCAATATTATATTGAATGAAAAACGAGCTTAAAAGTATATATATGTATTCGTCGAGCTCGTATAATGGAAAAACAGATTGCTTTTAGGAATAAATAATATAGAGAATTTTTTGGGTTTCTCAAAGAAAATCTCGTTACTTTTTTTACTTCCGTCGAAATACACGAGCGTTTCAACAGTCAGCAGTTATTATATTCTCGCCAAAATCTCACGAAAGCAATTTACCGTCGGAATCACTTCAAGATAAACGAAGAGCTGAAATTGAAAAACAATTTTAATTGAACAAACACCGACAAAATATCGTTAACTTACATTCGTATCGCGCAATTATTATTACTATTGTTGTTTTAGGTATTCATTCAATATTGTTTAAAATAAATTATTTTTGGGAATAGGAATTTCACC